GCAGCATCTAAAATTTGGAGTGAGCATATGAGCTGTCTGCTTCTATCTCTCTGACACAATCTCACTTTCTTTCCTTTTAAGCAGCAAAACAACTTACTCACATCAAAACCACTACAGCACACAGGAAATTCACAATACAGCTAGGCTCGGCTGCACGCCACGTACCAAGAAAAAAAAAAAAATTTGAGTTGCATGATGTGCTGATAAGAAACAATTCAGCAACATAGAAAACTTCTAAAGTTTCTTGACATTGCCGTTTCATAAAATTATGATCTGATTCTGGCAGATCTTTAAAGGTTTTATATGGAGATTGCAAAGTGACAACATAAGAGTCAAAACGCATGCTATAAGCCATTATCACCAACCAGCTAATACTCTGGAAATAACTTCTCTCTTTGCGTTGTCCTTAATGTTTTTGATTTCCTTTTCTATTTCTCTATTTCATCACATTTGGAAGTTCTTGAATGATTTTCTGTTTCCTCTTCTTACAAATGTATTTGTATCTCAAGTAACCCAAGTGCTTCTTATAAAGATTTAGCACTGTCAATCAACCTCATGTACATGTTGCTCAATGTGCTTATGGCAGAGAGAAAAAAAAAACTTACGGTACAGGAAACCCATTTATCCACCGTTAGTGGTTGCCATGTTAACTAGCCTGAGCATAACAGAGAGTAAGGGGCATGAGGTGATTGACAGCACTCAGACCCACCTCCTGGCTCCGACTTGTTCTTTCTAATTAGCACTAGGAGAAGGCAGGGGACCTCCGTTTTTTCATACCATACTGTCATTAGTGTTAACAAATATGTAAAAATATATACATTTTTTCATTAAATGTATTAATTACAGCTACCTGTATCTGCAATTTTAAAGCAATCATCTTGTTCTATTACAATACTTTTAATCACTGGGTGAAGGATTCCTACAGTCTGAAGCTATGTAATTATTACAAGTTTGTATTTGCAGAGTACTTTTTTATTTCAACTAAACTAAAATAATACAGCAATAATCCACAGTTGTACAAATAAGATTGAGTTGTGTTCTTTAAATCATAATAAAAAAAGAATTTATGTGCAACTGTATAAGGCTGTATTTAGAACCACAGTAAAGTTGTGGGACTCATGAACTCTGGAAGAATGCAGGTTAAGGAATAATTTATATTTAAAAAATACTTGGAAATGTATATAAAAATTAGAAAACAGCAAAAATAATACAAAAGAATACCTCAAAAAAATAAACTTGACATTAGAAGTTAGGCATATGTCATTATAGTTGAAAGAAAATATGTACGTAGATTTAGTTTTACGTGAGCTATTTAGCTAATGCAGCATACGTGAAAAAAGCAATATAAAGGATTTCAAATATTTCAAAATAACCTTCATTTATTCACAATATCAACATTTATAAATTCATCATTTTCTATAGCACTTCTAATGTTTTCAATCTATAGTATTGTCGTCAGAATTGAAAACTGCGCGCAGCTCTGGAAGCAGGACAGCAGCTGTTTAATCAGAAACATCCGCTTGATGGGCGTGAGGCTATCAAAACTGCTCACACAAACGTTATGGAGCTTAAACAGCAATATCTTTCATCATACTAATATAACTTCAAAAGCTTGAGCATTTAACGAAAATTATACATTTATTTGGGAGATATCTTATATGCATGCCGAGGACGTATATTGAAAACCATAACTTCCTTCTAGCCGTCTCTCCGCCATTTTACAAAACATCTTTAGCCACTGTAGTTTTGGTTATTTGTCGTAAAGTCATGTATTAGAAAAACAACACAGTGCCAACATAGGACAACAATAAAAACAAAAGTCGGAGAAATTATAACACGGATAAGTTACTGAACTGTAGAGGAATAAAATAGTTCATCAACTCACCGTTACCAACGTTAAAGGCGTCGGCCTTAAGGAACCCTCCGCATAGAGCTCTCGGTTTGAAAAAAAAAGAAGCTTCCTCTTGGATTTTCAAACTAAAAGTGTCTATATTTCCTAATTTGTATTTAGTAGCTTTAAATTCATCGTTACCAAATTAATTTCTCTGATATTTGAGAAACCCGTTAGTTAAGTGTTTTTCTTTTTGGTTTGTAGATTGATAATACTTGTTCATGTTTTTCTAACTGACATTTAATCTTTTATTTTGAAAGTAAAGCCCCTGTACCTGTTTTAGGCACCATATAAATTTTGGCAACTTCAAACAAAAGTCGAGTTTGTGAAGCCGTCAGATGAAAATAGTCCTTCAGATCGACAATTGAGAGTTGACCTTTTACCAAAATACAAACAAACTTGCTTTCATTTCTCTCGTTTAATAAATGCGAACTTTTTTTTAGAAGGAACAGAAAGAAACAGTTTGAATTAATTTTTCAAATAATGTGCATGAATTTGAGAGCATTCTATTTATTTTTCTCTACTACATGCAAGACTGAGTCTTAGTCATAGAGCTACCCGTATACCGCCATTAAATCCAATTAGTCCTTGTGTCAGAATAAAAAATTAAAATATAAGTGACTGACTCAGTAATAGAAAAAACTCTTCTAATTCTTTGACTTACAGTTGTATTGAAGATATGACAGAGTCCATCAATTTGAGAAATACATCTAAAACAATATTGCTCTTTTAGTATGAAAACCATCCTGGGAAATACAAACTTTTTTTTTCTGCTTAGTATGAGGCAAAATATTTTGCATGGCAGTTTGATAGATTTTGAAGTTTTTACACTCATGAACTCTGCAACCTATGCTCTGTGGACATCAGAATAGAAAGTTCAGCTGTTCCCATTTCTTAAAATCCTAACTTTGTGGTTTTTTAAAATAAAATGTAATATTCAAGTAACTGAACATCCTCAAAACATCTATTAATCTTTTGTCATTTTCTGCTTCTTGTTCAGATTGTGAATTGCATCAAAATCAACTATATGTCTCTCTCTCTCTCTCTCTATATATATATATATATATATATACTGTATATATATATATATATATATATATATATATATATATAATCCGCTACAATCGTCAAGTGTTTTGAAAATATCTATCAGTGGATGAATCAGAATATCTGGATAAGAAAGCAAATCTGAATTAAACTCTGTGAGCCTAAAGACCAGAAACGTTTCCTTCTTTTATGTGTGTATAATGTTTTTTATAATTTAATGCAAGACTTAATTTTTATCTTATCTAACATGTTTTTTCTAATCTCTGTTCCTTTGTTCTTCCTGTAAAGGACCATAAATTACCCTGTGCATGAATTGTACTATACAAGTGCACTTGCCTTGCCTTGCCTTTTGTTACTGTTATCTTTACTAGCATGCATTAAGTGCTAAACCATATAAAACGTCCAAGGCAGTAAATGTACAATGTTTTCAGATAGAAGTAAAACAACACTAATACTACAGCTTGATGTGAGGGTGTCAGAAATCATAGACTCGCTGGCACATCTCTTTTCTATGTCAAACTCTCTGCAAACCCATGACAACAATGCAAGCATTCTTAATGATTCCTGTACCTTTTACTCCCAATGTGAATGCATGGCAGGTAAAAGAGAGACCCAGGTTTATCCATTTTCAAAACAAACTCCTCGTCTCAAAGTGTCAATATAATACTTCTTGCATTTAGAGTTGATTGTTTTAACTATCTTTTTGCAATCAATGACTGTCTAGGTGCTACAGTATGGAAGCCCATTTCCGCCACTCTGTTAAAAAAATAAAAAATAATTATCTCATAATAATGAGATAGTATCTCATTATAATGAGATACTATCTCATTATTACGAGATACTATCTCATTATTACGAGATAGTATCTCATTATAATGAGATAGTATCTCATTATTACGAGATAGTATCTCATTATAATGAGATATTATCTCATTATTATGAGATAATTATTTTTTATTTTTTTAACAGAGTGGCGGAAATGGGCTTCCATACTACAGTGGCAATAAATAAATAAAAAATATATAGAGAGAGAAAGTAAAGAAAGAAAACTATTATATGTAATAGCATTGATTTGACACAAGATGGAGGCATTATGTAAAAGCATGTATGGACTCATGATTATAATTGATTTTGCTAAGCTTCAGGAATCTGATTGAAAGAATTGCGTTAAAAACAATTTGTGTTTATATTAATCGGCAAATTTACAGACATCTCTGGGACTGACATTAAACCATCACATCTGTAGATTTCAAACTGCTTCTGTCTCATGTTTTCTCATTTACAGGCTAAACGGAGGGATGGTCAAGTGTTGACAATCTGGTTAGTGAGCTATGTGGGCAAACATACCACAATTGTTTTTTGAAAAGTAAGCTACACAACTGTCTTATTATTATTGCAATAAGTAAAGTGTGATATTTTCTATTGACAATAATTCTCTCATGCTAGTTGCTGGGAGTTGAGCCTACATTTCTACTTTGTTACGAAATCTGTCAAGTACCAATTACAGATGATTTATATTTGTTTGATTTGAGACCGAATTAAGATTTATGTGTTCAGCACATTCATAGCATCTGGAATGTAAATAAATTACAGACATGATGATGATTTTGAAATATTACATCTGATGTTTTGCTCAGTACTCAAGTAGTCTTAAGAAATATTTTTTATTGTTATTATTATTTCTGGATGGCTACTTTTTACTTTTACTTGAGTAAAAATGTATTGAAGTAGTGTAACTATACTTGAGTACAATTTTTGGGTACTTTTCAATTCTGATCATACTCAATATTTCAGATATTTCAGATTCAGAAGTAATAAAAGCGGATGCGATCAGCTCATGTTGGACATCTTTCGGGGCAATTGTTCTGTTTTTGTTCACTGGATAGCCAAACCTATCCCTTTTCTGTTTTTATATTGTCAAGTCTATTCATGAGTCAATTATGTTGATCAGCATCTGTTTACAGGACCTAAAAACGACCATAATCCAACAGTCAGTATAGATATTAGTGACCGTGTTTCCTCTGTGTGACAGGGAAATGTTGTAGTGGGCAGAAGTGAGACATAAATCCTCCGCAGTGTGAATCGTTTGCTCACCACCAGGAGAAACTGCAGCTGCGTTCAGAAAATGGCCGACAGATTTTCTAGGTTCAACGAAGAGCGTGATTTCCAGGTAATGCACATCAAAAGACCAGAGACTTTTAACGAATTTTGCATGGTGGAGTATTTTAGAACATGGGATAGGTCTTAAAGGATATAAAAACATCCAGTATTTTACAACCAGCTGCGAGCATTTCGGCATATTCGGTGCTTGCTAGCACTGCAAGCTAGTTTAGCTAACGCTAGTCCACTGCGGCTCTTCTGACATCAGTTTTCTAAACGTCTCCGAGCTTTATTCCTGTCACCAACGTCCAGTTTTATTCACGTCACTTTCCTATTATTTGAACCATTTAAACCACTCAGCAGGAAAAATGGATATAGAATAAGTACCTGCTTATTAGTGACCTTGGGTATGCTGGTTGTTTATCGAAAAAATGCTAACGATGCAAGCTTTGCTAACATAAAGCTATACTAGAGCTTGCTGTTCCCTTTTGACAACCAAAAAGTAAACAGTGCATGTTTAAAGAGTTATATTATCCTCATACTTGTAATCTTTTGGTATAGTCGTTTTAAATTACCACAAGCTTGTACTTTAAGGTTTTTAAATAGCAAGTTCTATACCTGCGTAACAATGAATTTCAAGCATAGTCTTCTGTTTTTGCTTATATGAATGAAACTGCAACCAATCGGCAGATTACCTAAATGTTATTGAGTAAACTCGATCAGCTTCACTTTTTTTAAATGCAGAAATGATCATTTTGCTGAAAACAAAATACGCTTTACCCAGACATGGTGTGCTCTTTTTGTTTTTTGTATTAATGTTATTTTAATGTATACCAATATCTCCAAAAACTCAATAACCGAGTTTTTGTAACATTCCCTGGGCATCTTGTTACAATGCAAAACGTATATAAAAAAATGCAGGAACAGCTGAGTAACTTTGTTTCACCATGGCATATGTTTCAGCCATTTGTCCTTTTCTGTCTTATCTGAGATCTGTGGCCACACCCAGCCAAAGCTAGACACATTTCTGGCCAGTAAAACTGTCATGTGTTTCTTGTGAGTTGGTGCTTTCTCATCAAACATTTGCATTCATTTTAAGCATTTTTTTTGAGTCACTTATGTCACATTGCAATGTATATCCACCTAATCAAATGTTCGTAAAGATTTTAATTATTCTTATGTAGGTAGGAATTATTTGCTGCTTGTTTAATTGTTGTCAGGCAGTCTACAATACGCAAAGCAAAACATAATGTCCTTTCTTACACGTTTTTAATTATTTTATGGCTATGAAGTCGGGTCATACAAAATAACATTTATAATTTAATAAATTTTTTATGCTGCTAGATTCAAGGTCTTGCTTAATTGATATAATTGTTTGTAATTAAAATTGTTTTGAAATGTGTACTTGTCTTACTTATAATTCTTAGTTGCCTGCTTTTCAAATGACTTTGGTGATGTTTTTCCACCTAACTCCATTTGCCATAGAACTGTATTTTCAGCTATTTTGTCAGTGAGAACCTAATTGCTGTGAGGTCTGAATGACTCTGTTGAGGATCACTCAGGCCCAGCACAGAGAAGCTCTGTGTGTGAGATCTGCAGTGAATGCATTCATATGCTCAGCATTCAGAAAGTTTCTTCATGGATTGATGCTTGATGCCAAGCAACGCAATCTGGAAAATACCCACAGATGGTATAACTAATCTCTGCTACACAGCCCAGCTAAGAGCTTTTCCACTTTATGCTTTTCCAGTGGGCGTTGCAGTTTTAGCATGTACTGCAGAAAATGCTAAGCTATGTATAATTCTTGCAGATGTTGACTGTCAGAGAATACTTTTTTTTTTTTTTTCCTCATGGTGGTGGCTTTACCTACGTTGTTAGTTGGTATGGAAGCCCAAGAAGAAATCTAGCAGTATATGTTTACCAAGAAATGTTTATTTATTCTTGTACTGATCAGTAGAGGAAAGCGAACACTGTTCATAACTTTGCAGTAGATGTGCATAGTCATATTGATTATGAAACAAGTATGAGGCTTTTGTGGAGAGCATATGACATTACATAAAGCACATTATGCGGTCTAAGTAAAATGTAGAAGGAAATATGGGGGAGAAAGGAAGCAATCAGTTCATGTCTTCTCTGCGTCTCACCTTCTCATAATCCCAAGTTTTACTTTTGTACATGTGGTGTTTGATTCAATCTGAATTAATGGCAATAAATAATGTCAATATAGATTTCTGGTACTGCAGAGTTGCTGGAAAATGTATCTGCAAATAGCCACTGTAGTCCCACCACTTGAGAATCTTCTCGCAGAAAACTTTAATGAATAATTTTACTAAATAATTGAAACGCTACCAAGCACATTTCACTGCTAAAAGCTGTCGGTGATGAAACTGCAAGGTAATGTACTGCAAAGGAAGAAATAAAAACAGAATTTTACGCAATTTGTATATATTATGCGATTTCCAGGATTTTAAAACAGCAGAAACACACTTTGTAGCTGTCCTCTCCCATAAACCAACAGTTGACGTGACATTTAACCAGTTCAGTCCCAAAAGAAAGCTGCAGTTGCCTTCATCCGTCTGATAATTAAGCAGACCACATATACGCTAATGAGTGACGAGACCCCAAAGTCACATCCCAGACACAAATGCATTACATGGAAATATTTGACAGTATGATTGTACACAAAGCAGCCAAGAACCAAAACCTCGGATCGGCTCTCGGAGATCAGTGACTAACTGGATTTTTCAAAATTGCATCACAAGACAGATATTTATGAAATACTCTAAAGTTTGTTGTACGTCAAACACCAAATTATCTTTAGTAAACCTAATGACTGTGTTTTTATTTTTTTTATTAAGGTTAAATGTGTGTTTCAATTTCTCAGGGTGTGAATCACTTTGACCAGTATGAAGAAGGCCAGTTGGAGCTGGAGCAGGCGTCCCTGGACAAGCCTATCGAATCGGTAAGGTTGCATCCATCGTCCCTCACCATTGGACCAGCTGTGAGAGTGGATATGATTGGTCCAGGAAGGAATAAGAACCACACCTTTACTCCATACTGTGTAGATGCATCTAGTGTTTTCTTGAACACACTTGCCACCTAACCCGTAGAATCACTCGTCAGTGTCCATTAATACCCTTTAATTCACTCCCACTTCTCATGACCCCGACCTACTTCATTTCTTCTGACATATAAAAAGACGATTTAGATCCTAGATCTTCCTGTTATATGTGCAGCCCACAGATAACCATAATTTTTTTTTTTCTTCGTAACAGTCTCACATTAGTCATCGTTAGTCATCTTAGCAGAGATAAACTTGAGATGAACCTATAAGCATGAAGTGGATGAAGCACTGTCTTATTAGCCGTTATCTCAGCATTGTAGCTACTCATCAATTTAAAACGGTAATTTTGGGGGGGAAAAAATAAACATATTTGAATATTTCACAGCACTTTTATGTGGAAATTCTGCTATCAGAAATGAAGCCACATTAGATTTCAGTCTAAGAAAAGTTGTATGTTTAATATTTTTTTTTAATTGAGTAGAAATTATTATTTAGCAAAACAAGGCAGTGCTTATTCCATGTCCTTTGTATAAAAGAGGGTGCACATTAGATGGTGTGAATGGGTACATTTGTGTTTGACTGAGTGTTTGTTTATGTAGCTTTTAGACTGTACGTGTTAGTGTATAGTATTTGTATTTATAGGACAGTTATCTTATTGTACACAACTTGGGGTGTTCGACATTTCTCTCCTGCAGCGAATTGGCCCCCTATTAGCTAAGCAGCAATGACCCGGTTTGTATTTGCACGCTCTGCTTCCTTACTCCTTATCTTTAGGGTCCTTTGTAACGCTTCTTTATCTTTCTTTCTCTACTTTTCTCTTTCTGTTTCACGACTGTCACACCTGACATCTTATTCTCTCTCCCTCTCCCTCTCTCTCTCTCTCTCTCTCTTTCTCTCTCTCTCTATTGCTCCCTCCCTTCTACACAGTGATTCGGTGTACAGTACCCTCTGTCATTCTGTGCTGGCATGGTGCTTGTGCAACTGGGACTGCATTTTACGCTGAAGAGGCATATTGATAATAGCGCAGGCAGCTCTCTTTTTCTGTCTTCCTCACTTTCTCCACCCTTCTTTCTGTCTTAAGCATTTTGGTGAGCAGGCCAAACTCGGAAGTCCTCAAAAGTACCAGGAAACTTTTTCTCAAGATTTTTAATGCACTTTGTGAAGCAGTCAGATAGGGTCAGCAATCCTGGATGTCAAGTTTAAATGTATTCATTTTTTTGGATTATAATACAGTTATTGTTGAAGACAAATTAAAAAGTTAACTTTGAAGAGCTAAATAAAGCTAGCTAAGGTGAGCAGGTGTTTCTGCAAGCTTTTGTCTCGAGTTTTTATTTAATAATCTGTAGGAACTGCAGTACAAATATGAAATTCTACTTCCATTTCATTTACACATTATCTTGTTGTATCTGTTTTTAGTTGGACATGTTTGTCATAACTCTGAGCTCCAGAATGAAACACTGTCCCTACCTAAACAAAACCAGTATTTTGTCCATGTGGGTGGTGGAGAAGTAAGAGGACAAGTAAGAGAGAGTGGTGGCCTGCTCACCTGGCTTTACCTAGCTGTTTTGCTCCTGCGCTATTATTTGTGGAGGGGGGCTGAGGAGCAGGCTGCAGCACCACGCAGCTCCTCACACATCTGTGGAAAAAAACAGAAGCTGGAAGTGTCACCTTATCACCACTATCAACTTTCTTGTTACAATTTTGTGGTGCTCTAAAACACGACACTCTTTAGTATCAGATGTAAAATGGATTCTAAAAAACATCTGAGATGCTTGAATTGGTAAAGTAAACGATAAATATAACATTTTTAAGTTGGTTTAAAAAAATGGAGAGGCATAGAAATGCTTAGCTCTTTACTTTTAAGCTCTTAGTCCACTAATGCATAACTTTAGAGCTGTTCATAAGTGCTTCAGCCCAGCTTTTCAGAACCCCTCCTTTGCCATTATTTGTGTGTGAATTATAGGCAGCTAGAGGTCTGTGGTATTTTATTGGGATCTCTTTTAATTCCTGTCTTACCCCTTTTGGTCTTTGCTATTTTTCTCCTAACACTGTTTTGCATTGCATGTGTTAACTTGGTAGCATTAAGCACTATGTGCTCTCAACACTCTGTGTTGTTGTTGTTGTTGTTGTTTTTTTGTTTTTTTTAACTCGGACTCATTCCTTATTGTCTCTTATCTCCCCCCAGTCCCTTAAATCTACCATCCACCTTCCTCCCTCCTATTTGACCCGGTACCACAGCGATATGCAGTGGGCATCCTCAGAGCCACAGAACATGAACACTCACAGGAAGGAAACATCTGTGAATCCCGCAGAGAAACTAAATTCAAGTCAAGACGTTACTGCACATGTTTTAAATGCACACATGCAGTTACTGTGGCTCAATATGCTATTTAAGCCATAGTTGTATGAGTCATTTTAAGTTTGTAGAGCTTGATATTGTTGAAAGTATTGAACCAAATACTTTCTCTTTTTAAAAAGACTTATCATCTTAAACATGAAACCACACACAGGAAAAGGCATCATTTTAATACTTACGTTTTGCGCAGGCTTTAATCATGTGGACAGAAGTTATGATTGTTGAATGGTGTTGACTAAAAACCCAATTCTAACCTCAAATGCTTTAATGTTAAATAAAATAAGTGGGGGGGGGGGGTAAGAAATGAACAAAACAGATGATTGATCACATTATTTGCAATAGTCTGAAGCATGTCCCATCTTTGAAATTGGGACTTAAGATTTATAAGGTAAGTATGTTTTTGAATTGTTATATGTAAATTAGTTATTTTAATAAGACATTTCTGTGTTTTTTTTATTTTATTTTTTTAATTTTCTCAACATATTTGATAGTAGAATCTTAAACATTATTTTTCTTGGCACTCAGGCCTTCTGTTTTATTCGCTTAGCTTGTTACTCCAAAACAGTTTTTTTTTTTTTTTTTTTTTTTTTCTCTCCCCCTTTCCCCTTTAAACCGGCCC